CCCTCTCATCCATCTCTCCGGCATTTGGGGCATCCATTTCCGTTGTGAAGACAGATGCAAAGTACTCGTTCAGTACATCAGCCATGCCCTCTGCCTCCACAACAAGATTGCCGTCAATGTCTTTGATTGGCCCCACCCTAACTTTAACTAACCTTTTTTTCTTTATGTGCTTATAAAATATTTTAGGATTCCCCTTTATGTTACCTGCTAACCTCTTCTCATGAGATCTTTTAGCCTGTCTCATCACTCTTTTAAGATCACTCCCGCATTCTCTATAATGCGCTTTGCTATCCTCAGTATCTTGCGTCTTCCAATTGCTGTAGATGTTTATTAATTCAGATTAGTAATAGTTATAAGTAATTAAAAAAATACATCACAATAATGTTTATGTATTACATACCTTTTGCAAGATGGTTAATAATAATAACAATAATAATAATATTATTATTATTAAGATGGTTCCTTTGTAAACACAAATGCAACACAGCTGCAGACCATTTTTCCATGAGAAAATGGCTGATAAAGAATGAAAACAGTTTGTTGTTTATAAACTCCTCGAGCAAGGATCTTCTTCAAAGCTAGTCACAACCAGTTGCTCATATGAGATTGATCATGTGTTTCAAATATATATATATACATAAACATCACAAATATAGAGATATTATTTAACTCATTAATTAGAGAATCCTACAGTACTCCCATCATACCAGTTCTTGCTCGACCTTCCTCTTCTTCTGTGCCTACAGATATCTCACCCCGGCTCGGCCATTGTCAAGCGCTCTGAGACGGTAGCCTGGTGAGGGTCGCTATATTAATGCAAGTTTTTGTTGTCTGATTCTCTCTAACCATTGCACTGTGCTGGAGGCAGACTATGCTTTCTAAGATTCGAGACAATATTTCGGATTCACCCAACTCATGTTTCTGCTGCAATTGAAAAATGCTATTGTTCTCAGTAATACTTATCCACAATTACACAAATATTTTTATATTCCCTGGGTTTGAGTGTTTCATAGGGTATTTTATTGATCTGTATTCACAAACTACTTATGTCAGGTATATGATGGGTAACATAAGTTAATGTACTTTCTACTTTTGGGTTGTTTGTGGAATTGGCTGTGCATAAATTGTTTACTGCAATCGCCTACAAAATACACATGATAAGGTGCCAGTTCAAATGCAAGGATTTGCATTTATTTTTATTTTGTGAGACGTGCCATCCCCACCCCTGATCTCGATCCAGAATGCAGTTGGATGCTGCTTGCCCTTCGCCATGATGTACCCAGCTGGAGCTGCTTGTTATTGTCTGGGCTTTCTTTCTTCTGTTGGCCTGGAGCGGTTATTCCAATTGGCCGAGCTGACCATGTTTGACAGCTTCCCTCTCCATAGAGTATTGTTGGTGATTCCATCCGGTGCTTTCACCCATGTTACACATCATTTTAACGGATAATCAATGAGCAGTAACCAAGTAAATACAATACAAAATTATAATACAAAGTTACATTTGTAAAGCGTCTTTCATGGCGGGAGTATGTCCCAAGGAGCTGAAAGCACACACAACGAAAACACTTGCTCACATTGCTTTTTCATCGCACCATTTAACCAACAAATGCACAAAAATGTCGAAGTACACTATTCTGTGGGAATATCAGTATATAGATCACACGCCCAACAACGGAGTCTATTATCTCAAAGATTCCTGAAATGTGTGCAGGATAACTTTCTGGATCAGTATGTTTGCAGCCCAATTAAGGAGGAAGCAGTGCTGGATCTAGTTCTGGGGAATGAACTGGGGCAAATGGAGCAAGTTTCAGTTGGAGAGCATCTGGACAACAGTGATCACAACATCATTAGTGCTCTAACTACCGAGCTACAGTGGAGTTACTGTAGCTCAGTGGTTAGATAACTCGCCTCACAAGCGAGAGATCTGGGTTTGAAACCTTGGGTAAGTTTCCTTGCTCCACATGCCTGATAATAATCACTCAAGAAAAATAAATAATAATTTGGTCACTCAATCCAAGACTGTTTGTGGGACACTGCTGTGTGCAATTGGCTGCTGAGTTTCGCCCACAAATATACAGTCAATTCACTTCACAGTATAATTTGTGAAGCGCTTTGAGACGTCTAGAAGATGTGAAAAAGTGCTATATCAAATGCAAGGATTATTATTTATTAGGTTTAGAGTATTTATGAAAAGGGATAGGAACAATCAAAGGTGAAGATACTAAACTGGAAGCGAGCTAATTTCAGTGAGTTAAAAAGGGACCTAGTCAAGGTGGACTGGAAAGAAAGACTGGAAGGAAAAACAGCTAACGAGCAATGGGAAGCCTTCAAGGAGGAGATAATTTGGGGTCAGAACAAATACATTCCCACAAAGGGGAAAGATAGGGCATCCAATCCTCCCTGGATGATTAAATAAATTGACATTAAAATAAAACAGAAAAAGGAGGCTTATGATAAATGTCAGATCCAAAATACAGAAGATAATCAAATAGAATACAGAAAGTACAGAGGAGAACTGAAAAAGGAAATAAGAGGGACAAAGAGATTGTATGAGAAAATATTAGCGAGTAACATAAAAGGGAACCCTAAAGTTTTTATAAGCATATAAAGAATAAAAGGTTATTCAAAGGTGGAGTGGGACCAATTAGGGACTAAAGAGGAAATCTTCTTGTGGAGGAATACTGAATGTGTACTTTGCATCTGTCTTCACAAAACAAGAGGATGCAGCCAATGCCACAGTATCAGAGGAGAGGGTAGAGAAATTAGATATGATCAGAATAAACAGAGGAGGTACTGAAAAGGAACACATGGTTGCCCTAATGAGATAATTAAATATTGAGAAAAACAATGGTAGGACAAGAAATGTTTGCACGCGCTCTCCATTGGCAAGGTTATTCAGGGTCAAAATTGCAAAAGAACAACAAAATTACATTTGTATAGCGCCTTTCATGTTGGGGGTGGGTGTCCAAGGTGCTGGAAAGCTTCCCTGAACAGAGAAGAGTTCTGGAGTCCTGTAGTGTATTGGTTGTAGCACTCGCCTTGCAAGCCAAATGAACTGGTTCGATTTGTGGCGGAGCGAATCCTTAGGCAAGTTTCCTTACTCCACATGCCTTTATTCACCTAACAGTAAGTAGGAACCCAGTTATTAGTTGATTGGCAGAACACTTTCCAGAAAACATTGCACAAAAGTATCCAATAAAACATAATAATATAAAATATGATAATCTACAGCTGTTTGTGGGACACTGCTGTGCACAATTGGGTGCCACCTTTCGCCCACAAAATATACAGTCAATTCACTTTACAGTACATCTCGAAGCCATGATAGGCTCTATATCAAATGCAAGAATTATTATTAAGATACTTAAAGATTGGCAAATTGGTTTTAAATATTTTAGTATGAGATGTTAAAGTTCGGATGAGATGTTAAACCGAGGTCTCATCTTCCTGTTCAGATGAGATGTTAAACCGAGGTCTCATCTTCCTGTTCAGATGCACATTAAAGATCTCATGGCACTATTCAAAAAAGAGAAGGGAGCTTCTCTCTCCTGGTGTCCTGGCCAACAAGCCCCTAAATAAAATTGGTCACTTACTCCTTGGATGTTTGTGGGACATTGTTGTGTGCAACTGGCTGCTGCGTTTCATCCACAAAATACAGTCACTGTACTTTACATTATATGCTGTGAAGCGATTTGAGATATCTCAACAACATTATAAGATAGATTTATTATTATTTAATTGGTGTATTTATTTTTGGGAGAGAAAAAGCTGCAGTGGAATAGATTTACTGAGGTAAATGGGTAGATGGGTTTCAGGTGCTAAATAAATAAATAAAGTGGACTGCTTAAGAGTTACACAAATGATTTTTCCCCCCTGCATGTGACACAACAGAGACTGTGAGGATGTAATTTTACTTATCAACTGGCAGTCCCTTGCCACCTTCAAGACCCACCTCTTCGACCGTGCTTTCGATCTCCCTGCTAACCCCCTGCCCTCCACTCTCCCCACCACGACCCCCAGTTCGGGTCCATAACTCTGTTTGTCCAGCGCCTTGGGATGTCCTCCCGACATGAAAGGTGCTTTACAACTGTAATTTTGTTGTTGTTGTTGTTGTCAAGGATCCATTTGTTTTCCTTCTTCATCAACTCTTGGGGCCTAAAGATTTGTCTGGATTGTGAACCGACCGCATCATATAATTCTTAATTCAAAACAGGGAGCATACTGAAACAGCATTCAGTAGAAAATAGAAAGGATTAATTGCATTTTACCCCCAAGCACTCTGAGACGTTATCCTGCAGAAAGGGCATGATATAAATGGCAGTTGGTGTTTTGTTATTATATACATGAAACTGGAACTTAAATAGCAACTGTTCTACCTGAAACCACTGTCAACAGTGGATTGATGAGTTGCTGAAAACTCACAGGAACAGAGTTGGTAGGGACTATTGTTTTCATTTTTGAAAGGTAAAGTTTGGGATGTGGATGAAAGGAGTAAGTTAGACAGAATTCAAGATGGAAATAACAACAAAACAAATTGCATTTGTCCAAAGTCATTGGACAGTCAAGAGTTTGGACCCAAGCTGCAGGGTGGACAGCAAGGGTGGTGGGGGTGGGAAGATGAGCAGAGGTTGAAGAGTAAGGTCTTGAGATGGGCAAGGGAGGGGACAAAGCAGAAGGGCTTCGGGATGGAGTTCCAGAGGGTGGGGACAGAAAGGCTGAAGGCTCAACCTCTGATGGTGGAGCGAATACAATGGTAAAAAGATGACCAAGGCTGCAAACATATGGAATGAAACATGAACAAAAGAAAAATCTTGACTGACTAATAGAAACAACTAACCAGAGTTTGTGCTAAAGAGAGCAACTGTGTTAGATCAACTCATGTCAGGAACAGTGAAGCCTCACCTGGACTGATGTCACCAGGACATCAAGCAGTCACAACTGCACAGCAAAGTAAGGAGCCCAACACAGCACATAGCAGAGCACAATCACCACAGTCATTTTCACTGTTTTATTCATCACATTCGAGACGTGGTTGATGTTGGTGGCTCTGGAGAACACTCCCTCCCATCTGTGGGTCATCTTGGCACGTTTTGACATGAATATTCATCTAGATGGCCCTGCAGATCTTCATCTGACAGATGGTGAAGACCACAGTGGGGCAAAGAAAATGATTAAAAATATCCAAGTCATAAATGCCTCGAGACCTCGGGTTGGATGAAGTTAGCCCAGCACTGCAAAACCCCTGGGGCCATCTCTTTCTTGGACTAAATGAAAACCTGGGGGAGACTCAGCAGCAACGACATGGCCCAACTGGTGCAGGTGGCCCCATTCCAGAAAGTCCTTCTCTTCTGAAAGGTGACCATGGGGTAGCAGACCGCCTGAAACCTGTCCATGATCATCACCAATAATGTGTAGCTGGAGGCCAACATTCCCACCAGCTGCAGGTAGGTGACAGCTCTGCACAGGGTGTCCAGACCCAGGAAGATCTCAGTAATGTCCCACACCAGTTGGGGCAGGACCTGAAAGACCGCAACTACCAGATCAGCAATGCTGAGGTGCATTAGGAAAGCATACATGCATTTCCTTCTGTCCCACAGAGACCTGATCAGCAGGCAGTTGCCCACGGCGGCTGTCAGAAAGAGCAACGAGCACCGTTTTGGCCAACTCCTCATCCCTGGTTGGTTTGCCCAGGTTTATCTCTGCTTCTCCAGTCCTGTTCGTAGTAGCCCCCATTCTGCTGTGCTTGAGAAGCATTTCACGTTCAGTCAAGGGCAACGAGAGATTCTTCATTGTTCAAGCAAACTGAATTTTTTTTGAAAAATCCACTAAAGTTGTACAACATGTATCTTTGTGATCCGCAGTGTTTCACCAGGGTCTCATGGCTTGGTGTTCTCTCCTTGTTTGACTCAAACTGTGCTAAGTGGTGAGTCTCTGTGTGAAAAACTGCTTTGTAAGTTGCCGGCATCTCATTTCTCTGGGCACAGAAACACTAATCAGAACATGGGGTTGCAAATTAAGTTCCCCAGGAAAAGGAGAGAGCAAAGAGGAGAGAGAGAGAGAGAGGTGGGGGTTTTCACTGGGAATAAAAACAAATGAGGTGAGGCAGCTAAGCAAAGGCAAAACTAATTTATGATTTATGCATTCAATTATGTCCTCAGCGCTGTTTGATTTCGCCTGCTCTGTATTTCATGTACAGAGGTGAGGGTCTGCATTACGGTACATGACGTCCATAAAGTCCTGTTACTTTTTTTTCTTTTACCCTCTAATAATGAATTTTTAAATTTCTGTTGCAGATGATTGAATGTATAACAATGCCTGATACCAATGACGTCCTCGTCATTCCATCCATGTTATGGAAGATGTAGCATGGAACATGGTGGCAGATCATTATCTCACTCACACCGATTCTCTGAATGTCTAAATATAGTTAAATGCTTCTACTGAATAATTAAGTACTTATGTACTGGGACGTCCTCCTGACGTGAAAGGCGCTTTATAAATGGAATCTTGTTGTTGAATCTTGTTGTTCTAAATTATCATTATTCTTCCACGTTTCAGTTTTTAGTCAGCGTACTGTAGAAGAAAAACATTGGGGTAACAGGAATTTGTAAACACCTTGTATAGAGGTGGGATCTGCAGTACTGTCCTCCTTTACATCTCTTGTGCAGGTGATTGGAAAAGCATGCTTTTTACTCGTAGGTGAAGAGATAAATAATGATCATTCATTGGGAGAGAACAACAACAACAAAATTACATTTATAGAGCGCCTTTCATGTCGGGAGGTCATCCCAAAGCGTTGAACAGTCAGATGTCGGGGCCCGAGCATGGGGGAGGGGTGGTGTAGGGTGAGGGAAGGCAGGTGGGGGGGAGTGGTGGTGTAGGGGTAAGGGAAGGCAGAGAGGTGGGAGGGAGACCAAAGGCACAGTCGAAGAGAAGGGTCTTGAGACCAGCCTTGAAGGAGGCAAGGGAGGAAGCGAGGCGAAGGGACTTCCAGAGTGTGGGGGCAGAGAGGCTGAAAGCCCGGCCACCGATGGTAGGGTGGGTCGGGCGGGAGACGTGGAGCAGGCCGGAACCCGTAGAACGGAGGGAGCGGGCTGGTTGGTACGGAGTTTCTTCTCTTGTGAAGAGAAGAGTTGGGAAGGCTGATGAGGAGGGAGTTCCCATAATCAAGCTTGAGGTGACAAATACGTAGGTGAGGGTTTTGGCAGCCTGAGGGGTGAGGTAGTGCTGGAGTCTGGCAATGTTGCGGAGGTGGTGGTAGGCAGTGCCGGTCGTGGCGCGGGTGTGGGGGAGAAAGGACAGTTCAGAGTCAAACAAGATACCTGTTCCTGACTGGCTTAGTGAGGTTGAGTGTGCAGCCGTGGAGGCTGATGCTGCCAGCGCCCGAGGTGCGGAGGCACTGGCGTGAGCTAATCAAGAGGGCCTCTGTCTTGCTGACGTTGAGTTGGAAAAAGTTGGCCCTCAACCACAACTTGATGTTGGACAGGCAGTCGGTCAGGACGTCAGTAGTCCTGGAGTTCAGGGTGGAGGCAGAGATAGAGTTGGGTGTCATCTGCATACATGTGGAAATTTACCCCATGTCTGCGGATGATCACCAAGGGGGAGCATGTAGAGGGTGAAGAGGAGGGGACCGAGGACAGAGCCCTGAGGAATGCTGCACAAGATAGTGCAGGGGCTGGAGGAGAAGCCATTTGCCGCAACAAAGTGGAGGCGGTGTGAAAGGTAGGATCTGAACTAGTCAAGGTCAGAACCTTGAAGGAGTCGGTGGAGGAGGATTGAGTGGTCCACGGTGTCAAAGGTGGCGGAGAGGTCGAGGAGGAGGAGGCAGAGGGAGCCCTGGTCACACATGGTCAGGATGTCGTTTGTGACCTTGACTAGAGCAGTTTCTGTGCTATGGGCAGCACGGAAACCCGATTGGAGGGGCTCATGGAGGGAGTGAGAGGAAAGAGCGAAGCTGGGAGGTAACGGCTCTTTCAAGGACCTTGGATAGGAAAGGGAGATTTGAGATGGGCCGGTAGCTAGATAGCTGTGATGGGTTGAGGGAAGGTTTCTTCAGGGTGGGGGTGATAGTGGCTGTTTTGAGGGGGGAAGGAACAGTGCCAGATGACTGGGAGAGGCCAGAACTGAGGCCTAACCAGTGTTTTAGAGAGAGGTTCATCGTATCTTCCTGACTATGCCCCTATTTATAAAGCCAAGTATCCCGTATGGTTTTTTAACAGCTTTATCTACCTGCCCTGCCACCTTCAAATATTTACTTATATGAAACCCTAAGTCTCTCTGATCCTTCACCCTTTAAGATTCCACCATCTAGCTTATATTGCCTCTCTTAGATTGCGCTTGGGGAAACTCGGAAAGTGCTGAAGTTTGGTAGAACTGGCGCATACACGTTATAAATATATTGAGTAGCGCTTTAAATACATTTTTTTATGTATTTAACGTTTTTGATGCTTATGGTGCCATCAAGTCTGCCTGTAATGTCGTTTGCAATTTGGCGGGTAACTGACTATCTGTAATTTGCAGAAGTGGTCAGGAAGGTGTATTGTTTTCCTATTGGGTCACTTAAATGATGATTTTGATTGGACCATAAGAAAAACACCAATTACATCAAGTAATTGATGCACTACAATTACCATTGGGTACACTAATTCAGGGAGAGGCTCAATGCCCATAAAAGAATGAGTGCCATGTGCTCATGGTCACTATTTTTTCTACCTGATGACAACAAAGGTACGTGCTCTGATTATTAATGAGTAGTCAAGAGGTTGGTTCTTCATGCACTTTAAATTAACTTCATTACAAGTGGCTGCCAGTGTGTGTAGTTTAAGTGTGATTCATGTTTGTTATCTCATAGTTGTGTTTGTTGATATTTATCGTGTCATTTAAGATTTAACGGCAAAGGTTGTGGATTTCATTGAAGTTACAATAAAATTCTGTTGAGCTAAATTATCCATGCTTAACTCAAGCTTTCTGTATGAATCAAAGAAGGAGGGAATACACAAACAGGTTCAGCCTAGGTCACAGAGGTGTAAATAAATCTCTGATTGCCTGAAGCTTTCCAATTTGCTTTAATTTAAATAGCAATTGGTAGTACCTGTCATCGTGGAAGAACTCATTAGTCAAGTTATACCTAGTTATAGGCACTTGCATCATCAGTGAGTATTGAACACAGAGGCCACCCAGTACACTGCGAGGGAGAGCGAGCCATATCATGGGGGCAAATATAAGGGTGATAGAACCGTCTCACCTTAAAAAAAATATAATCACTTAATCCATAACTGGGACATTGCTGTGTGCAATTGACTGCTGCGTTTTCACCCACAAAATCCACAATCAATCCACTTTACAATATACACCCCTGAAAAGCAATCTGCCAATCGATTAACAACCAGGTTCCTACTTACTGCTAGGTGAACAGAGGCGTGAGGAATAAAGAAACTTGCCTAAGGTTTAGCCCCGCCCAAGAATCAAACCTGGGTGTTGTCGCTTGTAAAGCGAGTGCTCTCACCAATATGCTATAGGATTCCACCATACTGTTGATGAAGCAAAGCATTAAAGCTGTATATTTAAGGTACTCAATCAAGCTCAACAAATTATCTGTTCTATCTTAATAGGCAAGTGTGGGCTCAAGCAATTAAATCAAACTTGATCATCTTTTACAGTTCAGGGAGACACCTTGAAAATCCTTGACATTCCAGCGACTTGGGATGTCCTCCCATGTAAAATTTGCTGTCTGTTGTTGTTGTAATACGTGCTAGAGAGAAAAATGATTTGTTGTTTGCTTTTGAAATCAGTATAAACCTGACATTTGCAGACCAGGGAACTGGCTTGCACCATGCCAAAATCCATCCCTATATTTTTGTAGAGAATGAGCCGAATATCACTACTCTCCATGGTTACTATCAATACATCTAAGCCAAGAATGAAAGAGCTGCCATAGATGTCCCTCACATTTTTGTGTCAATGCAAAAAAGTCTTCACAGAACAGCATTGTTAGAGGTGCTATAATTCAGATGAGATGTTAAACCAAGCTCCCATCTGCCTATTTAGGTGGATGATAAAGATCTCATGGCACTATTCGAAAAGAGAAGGGAATTGCTTCCAAAAAATCAAATTGGTCACTCAATCCATGGCTGTTTGTGGGATATTGCTGTTGCTTTTCGCCCACAACATATAGCCAATCCACTTTACAGTATATCCTGTGAAATGCTTTGAGACGTCTCAACGATGTAATAAGGTGCTTTATTATCATAACTGTATATCCGAATGCTCAATTCAAAGTTAACTGCATTTACTTAATGATTGTTTATGCAGAATGCATGAGTTAATGAATTGTGCTCTGATTTTTCCACTATGAACCTCTTCTTGCTCTCACAAGTCATTGTTGCAAAACTCCTTAGACATTCAATACTTTTGATGTGGCTTGATGTTTGCTCCTTTTGAGGCAGCAACTATAAGAAAAAAGAAACAACATTTGCATTTATATATTTTCACGCGAGGCAGCTTCTCAAAGCACTTGAAACATTAAAGAAAAACATTAAAGAAATAGTTTAAAAAACTAGAAGAGTAACTCATCAACAGTGGAATCACATTAAAAAAAGGAAATGAAGAATTTAAAAGGCTGCAAAGTAGCCATTCCAAAAGATGTGCTCTTTCAGTCAGAGGAACACATGTCATTGGTGATGTTCAATACATTATATGCTAGTTTGTTGCTGAAATTGAACTTTCAACAGAATTAAGTTTTGACTTCTCTGCTTTGCAGTGGAGTCGTGCAAATATAATCTTACATCTTGAAGTTGGGCCTCAGCTGACTTATTGCCTGGGCAGTAAGTGTGGAAATATTTGCCCCAAATTACTGGGAGATTTGAGGTACATTTTACTGCCAACCTATATTTTTTCAATTTATTGATAAAAACTAAACATGAGGAAATAATACATTGTTGCAAAAAAATCATTAATATGTTTGATAACAAAAACATTCAGGGGTAGGGGGGACATAGCGGAGGTCCAAAGAGACTGGAGATCTGCCAAAAACAGACACTCAGGACCAGTGTCCTGACTGCGGACCTACAAGAGCTCACCACCTCCTGCCTCTCGGGGCCTGGCACCGCACACAGAGACCCAGAGAGAGACAGAGACAAACACACACTCAGAGAAACAGAGACACACATTCTCAGAGAGAGACACACACAGACAGACGTATGTACACATTCACACAGAGACTCTCATAAACACAAACATAGAAATGACATGCACATACATTCAGACACACTCACACGGACACAAATGGTCAGAGGAGACACAAACACATTCACACACTCGCATACAGAGGAGAGCGACACATTCACAAACACATAGAGACACACTGACATAGACACAAACACATAGAGAGACACACACAGACATTCACACCAGTGGGGCCCCCAAGTGGAGCAAAGCCCTTTTCCCTCTTGTGTTGCACCGTGCATCCGAGTCCGGAGCCGCCCTGCCTCAGATAAACAGAGCAAGACGCCTGGGAACCAGAAACTTCATTTTTTAGCACGTTTATAGTGGAAGGCGCTGTTTATAGTGGATTCCGCAGAAAAATTGCAGCCCGCACTTTTCTATTGGAGCAGTTTATTGCTTTTGAAACTTTTCAAAAAATGTGAACGTCTCAAAACTTATCTCTTTGACTGTTTCCTCTCTTCACCTTCGTAGCTCTGCTGCCCATCCAGAAATGTCAAGTCATTTTTCACATCCTCCATATGTGAAAGGCACTGTATAAATGTAAATTGTATTGTAAATTAGCATGTTCACCTCACAAGCGAGAGGACCTGGGTTCGATTCCAGGGTGAGGCGAAACCTTAGGCAAGTTCCCTTATTCCACATGCCTCTGTTTGCCTAGCAGTAACCTGGTGGTTAGTTGGATAGCCTTCCGGGGCGAGTGTGCAGATGCAAGCAAGCGAGGAAAGAAGCAGAGGAGCAGACTAGGGAGAGGCAATCAAGTGCCGAAGATGTGAGTGGCAAGGTCAGAGCAGCCAGAATCTTGAAAATTTCTATTCAATCTTTTAACCATCTCTGCTCCAAGGACGATAATCCTAGCTTTTCCAGCCTCTCCTGATAACTGAAGTCCCTCATTCCTGGTACCATCCTGGTAAATCTCCTTTACACCCTCTGCAATGCCTTGACATCCTCCTAAAGTGGGTGCCCAGAACTGAACCTAGTACTCTAGCTGAAGCCTAACCAGTTTTATAAAGGTTCATCATAACCTCCTGACTTGTGTATTCTATGCCCCTTTCTATAAAACCTAGTATCCTGTATGCTTTTTTAATAGCTTTATCTACCTGTCCAGCCACCTTCAAAGATTTACGTATATGAACCCCCAGGTCTCTCTGTTCCTTCACCCCCTTTAAGACTGTACATCAGCTTATATTGCCGCTCCTCATTCTTCCTCCCAAAATGTATCACTTTGCATTTCTCCACATTAAACTTCATCTGCCACGTGTCTGCCCATTTTACCAGTCTGTCTATGTCCTCTTGCAGTCTGCTACTATGTCTGTCTATGTCCTCTTGCAGTCTCCTCCTCACTGTTTACTACTTTTCTGAGATTAGTATCATCTGCAAACTTGGAAATTGTACTCTCTATACCCAAGTCAAGGTCCTCGACTGCAGTTTCAGCGGCGTCTGGGGTAAGCTACACCCCAAAACTCTGGAACACTCTTCCTCTATCTCTCCACCATGCTCCTTCCCTCCACATCTTCAGGTTGCACCTGAAGACCTTACTATTCGACTGTTCCTAAGGTCACCCACCTCTCCCCTGGTTTGGCATCAAGCTCCGCCACTGTCAAAAACTCTGGAACGCTACCCTGCATTAAGCCTGTTATATAAATTTAAGTTATTGTTTTTGTAGTAATCCCTCAAAAAAATGTGGTCACTCAATCCATGACTGTTTATGTGACACTGCTTTACACAATTGGCTGCTGCGTTTCGCCCACAAAACACACAGTCAATCACTTCATAATACCCAGGTATTCAGTCAAGCACGAGGAGACGTCCCAATGACCTGTTAAGGCGCTATATCAAATATCAATGTTGCATTCCTAAACTTGCTCTCACTTCCACTAATCTTCCTTCCTTCCTTCCTTCCTTTCGAAGAGATGGGTTTAGTTTCCTCACAGCATTAAGTGTTTACGTTCGCAAACGTACGTCCACCCTCTTCCCGCCCGTCACACGTACAGAGCCTCCAGACCGCCAGTGACCCGCGCGCCTACGTGACGGGGAAACAGCTCGTCGCGCTAACTTGGCGCTGCCGCTCGCTGATTGGACCGGGCTCGGATGGCCTGTCACACGTAGCCAATCGGACGCCGACTTTCGGTTGTCACTCCGCCACACCCCCGCCTGGTGGCGCAGGCGCAGTGGCGACGGACGGCCGGTGGTGCGCGGAGACGGTTTGTCTATCGTCGTCAGAGACCAAGCGGTTGTGTGTTTGTGAGCGTCAGCAAATCCTCGAGAACACAGAGAGGACAGCAGAGCAGAGCAGAGCATCGGGGGAACTTTCCTGAAGGTCAGGGGAGGGGAATATTGTTATTCGTGGGGCAGACGGAGGGGAGGAGTAGGGAGGGGAGGGAGTGGGGGCGCGGGTGGAGGAGAGTAGGGGGTTGGTGGTGGGGAGTGGGAGGGGCGCTGGTGGGCGGGAGGGGTAGTCGGAGAGCGGTGATGAGGGGGCGGAGGAGGACAAGTGGAGTATCGTAAATGGGGAGAGGAGATAGAGTGAGGAGCCAAGGGGCAGAGGAGCGTTGGGGGAAGGGTTGGTGGAAGGGGTGGGGAAAGGGGTGGAGGAAGGAACGGAGGAGCGGTGGTAGGAGGAAGGGAGCAGCTGAGGGGAGGTCCTCCTCTTCCAATATTACATGCTCCCTCTCGGTGACATCATGCTCTTTCTACCCAGTCCTGTACGGAGTGCTCCAGTGGTTAGAGCATTCGCCTCACAAGTAAAAGACCTGGGTTTGATTCCCGGTAGGGCGAAACCTTAGGCAAGTTTGCTTGCTCCATAACCTTTCCCTCAAAAAAAAGTGATAATAAATTGGTCACTTCAATCTACGACTGTGCGACACTGCTGCCGCGTTTCACCCACAAATATACAGTCAATTCACTTTACATTATATTCTGTGAAGCGCTTTGCGACATCTAGAAGATGTGAAAAGCACTGTATCAAATACAAGGATTATATTATCATCCCCAGACATGGGGTCAACTTCTACATGTATTGCGGATGATAACCAACTCTATCTCTCTGCCTCCACCCTCAACTCCAGGATCACTGCTGTCCTGATGGATTGTCTGTCAGACATCAGCAGCAAATTGCACTTATGTACAGCTCTCCATGCAGTGTAGTACCTCAGAGCTGGTGAGATGTGGGTACGGAGTTTCGTCCAGGTCAATATGCGGGTGACAGAGTTTTGAATGAGCTGAATCTTTTGAATGGTGGAACTGGGGAGACCGGTGAGGAGTGCATTGGAGTAATCCAAGCGGGAGGTAACAAACGCATACACAAGGGTTTTGGCCTCATTTGGGGTAAGATACAGTAGGAGGCAGGCAATGTAGGAGGTGGAAGAAGATGATCCTGATCAGCGACCAGGTGTGGGGGATGAAGGACAGCTAGGGGTCGAATCGGACGCCTAGGTTGTGGTGCACTGGTTCGGTGAGTCTGAGGGAGAGCCCAGGGAGGTTGAGGAGTTTAGTTCCATAGGAGTGAAGCCGTTGACAGGAGCCAAGGAGTATGGCTTCGGTCTTGTCCATATTCAGCTGCAGGAAGTTTACCCTCATCCAGGCCTCTCTGACCATCCAAAGTGGTGCAAAGCTAGATATAGGAAAGAATCTTCTAGTAAACTGGAAATCTAAAGCATTATGCACAGTGTGCATATTGCTTTACTGTAAGTACACACCACTGTAAATATTTTCTTCAAATGCTTCATGTTTTCAAGCACAATCACAAAAAATTTTGTTTTTTTCAAAGTGGGCATCTTTAGAATTGTATCTACTGCTAAATTATAATTTGGTGCAGTTTGGAACAATTAAAAAAATTAATATAGTCACAAAAGCCTGTTATGCACAAAGCAATGTCCCACAAACAGTCATGGAGTGAGTGACCAATTTTATTTGGGGGATATTGGCTAGGACAGTGCCACGGTATCTTTAAAATCCACTTGAACAGGCAGATGGCACCGTGGGTTAACATCTCGTCCAAAGGACCGCACCTCCAACGATGCAACCGCCGGCTCATGCCGCTGCAGATAGTGAACCACACGGCTGATTGGGGGGGAGAGGGATGGTGGTAGAGAAGAGTGGGGAGAGAGAGTGATTGAATGAGAGAGTGGAGAGGTTTTGTGTGTGCGTGTGAGAGAGAAAGAGTGATTGAGAGGGGCAAGAGGATGTGAGAGAGAGAATGTGAGGGAGTCGGGGAGAGAAAGAACCAGAGAGGGAGAGAGAGTGTGTGTGAGACAGAGAGGAGAGGGAGTGGGGAGAGAGAGTGTGTGAGAGGAGAGAGAGGGGGAGTGAGAGTGCTGAGAGAGATGTGGTAGAGAGAGAGCATGATAGGGGGAGAAAGACAAACAAAAAGAGAGAGAGGAGAATTGAGGGCAGCATTTCATGGTTCACTGTCAGGACAGACAATCGGAACTTCCCTCAGTTGCCGCGAGGGTGACCAAGAACAGACACCAAGCGACGTGCCATGCAGTTTTCTCACTGAAAGCTCTCTTTCCCCAGTGAGAAACTCCTTTACGTCCTTCACTCCCAACTCCCCTACTCACCCTACCTCTGTGTACGCCCGACCCGGCTGTTCCCTTTGCCCAGCAAACACCAGCTTGCTTCATGTCCCCCATTTTGCCCACGCTCTCTGGAGTTCCATTCCTAGAGTCCCTTCGACTCCCTCTCTCCCTTTCAAGGCACATCAAGACCTAACTGTTTGACTACTCTCTCGGTCATCTTTTCATCCCACCTCCCTCAGCTCCTACCCCCAGCTCAGGTACCCAGCTGGCAGTGTTGACCAATTTGAGATGTCCTTCCAATGTGAAAAGGGCACTGTGTACATGTTATAATCTTGCCCCAGGGTACACATTTTTGAGGAAATTTGCTTAATTTGCTGTATTTTTGAATGTTTGGGAAGCAGCACATATTACTCTTAAACATTTCCAGTGCAATTGTTTCTGTTTTTCAGAAGTACAATTGTTTCTGTTTTTCAGAAGTAAAGGTGACAAAGTGATTTGCGAGTCAAAGTAGAGTTCACAAATTCTGCAGGCTTTCCAGTAATGTCTATGCGCTTGGTTCTTGATTACCGTCCATATGTTCTGAACAGTGAAACAAATCTTTGGTTCAACAGTTATCCAAAAGAAGAGTACTGTTCTTCTCATCCTTTAAGGATTAATTCACAAACATATAATAAGAAACCACTTTATGCAAGCAGCAAATCTAAAGAAAGAACTTCTTCCCTGAAATACAGTTGGTGCAAATGGAGCAGGAAGCACGCATCACGTTTTACTAACAGCAACAATTGTCAAAAACACACATTTCCGTTGCACAAGCAGAACACTACAAAGGGCACCATACCCCAAGACATTGCATGTCGCGAATCAAGAGTACCTTCAACACTGTTTCAAAAGCTGTCAGCAGCACACACACTGAGCTCATTGGGAAGCTAGTCCGATTGAAACCCAGTCTAAATGTTGCAGGGAAAACTTCAGAAGTTGAGACTCAGGTGAAGTGTGAAACTTCCAATCAGTTGACTACCTCTAATTCCAGTGAAGCTCAGGATAATTCGGGCAACAACCAGATTTTAGAAACCGTCAGTAAGTCACAGGGCACTTCACCTGTTGCTGCTGGACCTAAAGTTAATAATTCTGACCAGAAACCACCTTGTAACTGTGCAGCTGGTAATAAAAATGATGGAAGATCAAGTCTTTTTCATTCCAGCTATATCACTACCAATTTTGAAGAAACGTATAACTTTGTGGCGACCCATGTCAACAGTTATTTTGGGAGTGCAGCACAGATGGATCTAGAAAAGGCCAAAAAGACACATTTATTGCATTCAAAGAAATGGGGTGGGTCAACTGTGGCAATGTCAGAATCTTTCAAATTCAAGGCTGACAGAGAACATAATGAACAAACTACTGATCACAAACTAGACAATCAAGGGTTGAATGATTCCATTGCCAGTTCTTCTGTCTTGACTGAATCTGGTCCACCTACGATACCACCATCTTCAAAAAAGAGTCTTGTACGCTTACTTTCAAAGCCAACCAACAGTGTACAGGCGTTTGTGGACAGCTATTTCAGCAACTTGGTGCCAAAGTTGCGAACTGAAATGAAAGGGAATGCTGAAGTGCTGAATAAAGAATCTGAGTGTGAAAATAAAGGAAAATCTGTTGAACAGGACAAGTCAAAAGAGTCCAAGGCAGTGGAGGAGAAAGTGAAGCATCTCTCTCTTCAGAGGGAAAAGGTACTGTATTACAGCTGCTTTGCTTAATGATAAAGGTCAAGAGTCCCGTAGCATAGTGGTTAGAGTGCTCGACTTTGCAAGCGAGAGGACCCATGTTAGATTCCCGAGTAGGGCAAAACCTTGGGCAAGTTTTCTTATTCAGCAAGCCTCTGTGTACCTAGCAGTAAATAGGATCCCAGTTGTTCGTCGATTGACAAATTGCTTTCCAGGGTAATAAACCCTCCCAAAATAAATAAAACAGTTGTCACTCAATCCACAACTGTGGGACACTACTGTGCACAAATGGCTGCTGCGTTTTGCCCACAAAATGCAATCAATGCACTACAATATATTCTGTGAAACGCTTTGAGATGTCTCAATAACATAAGGTGCTAATCAAATGAAAGGATTATTATTATATAAAACTTGCATTTGATAAAGCACTTTTCACATCCTTTAGATGTCTCAAAGCACTTCACAAAATATACTTTAAAATGAATTGACTGTATATTTGTGGGCAAAACCGGCAGCCAATTACGCACAGCGATGTCCCACAAACAGTCGTGGATTGAAGTGACCAATTTTATTGTTTTTGAGTAAGGAAACTTCCCCAAGGTTTCTCCCTGCCTGGAATCAAACCCAGGTCTCTCACTTGCAAGGAGAGTGCTCTAACTGCTGATCTATAGACTTCTAGTATAAGAGAGAAGTTTGCTTAGTGCTGCTCCTTGTGTTTGTTGTTGTTTTTTAGATACCTTGTAGAAATAGTAATACTGTAGTCCTTTTTCCTGATTTTTTATCCTTTTTTTATTATGCATCAGATTTGCTCTAAGTGCATTTAATTTATTTTTCATTTTTATTGCCCTTTCTGATGTGTCAAATGAAATTTGTTGTTTTGTCCATTTTAATATTCGTACCTATTGGAGAGAAACCTTTATTTTTGAAGTTGACTAGAACATTTTCAGTCCCTCTTGCTCATTGGGCTCATCTCACACTGGTTTCCTTTGATCTGGAATATTCTCTCATTTTACATTTGTCTCTATTTTTTCATTTGTTCAAAATGTGTAAAGAGAAGTGTTCACTACAATTACAAAATGCAAAAAACGTAGATTCTGCAGGCAAATGAAATTGTGTTTGTTGAGCCAAATGTCTGTGATGAATCTGGGACAAGTGATTTTAGCATAGGTGTCAGTCAGACTACTTAATTCAACTCCCATTTCACCTCTGCTGGCACTTCAAAACGTTCTCCAACATGAAAGGTGCTATTGTAAGTGCTAGTTCTTGTTTATTAACTTGTGAATCCTAAAAAAATTGTTTCCAACTGAAAAAAAGGAATTTTCAGCAACAATTTTGTGGCTTATCTGTGTTTCTAGAAGTGGCAATGATATTTACTAAAATGCTTGCGAGTAGCTTCTTACATTTAACATATAGATTTTAGAGGGTTAACTTTCACTGTGTATGAAAGAGCGAGAGACCATTATCTGTCTTTATATAGATTATATGTTTTAGTTAATGCCTGTTGTCTAGATTATTTGTATTCTGAAATACAATCGATTTATTTGCAGAGTTGACGATTAAAGTAAACAGAGTAACCTATTGTTTCAAGTAGAGAATTTGCAAGTGCTGAAATGGTGTAAAACTGCTGTTGTATTATGGTTTGTGAAACATCCTTTGTGGTATCATAGCACTATTCCTTCTCTGTGAACAGATCATTGCTAAGGTCAGTGTGGACAACCGGACCAGAGGGTTGGTCCAAGCACTGCATAGAGCCTCCGATGTCAGGGTCTACATTAATCGGGTAGAAGAGTTGAATTATCACCTACTGGAATTTCCTGAAACCAGGACCATGGCTGTCAAGGTAAACAAGAGACATTTCTGTTTCTCAGGAAGGGATTAGGAAGTCATGGGTATCCTGCTTTCCCCCAAGCTTCCTTCTTTTATTTGCACACATAACACTTGGAAGAATTGTGGTGTTAGTTTGGCTCAGTTGGTACCATTCTTGCTTCTGCATCAGAAGGTTATGGGTTCAAGCCCCATGTCAGGACTTCAAACCCATATTGTCTTGATTGCCTCATCCTTGTCTTCAAAGTCTTCCATGGCCTTTCTCCTCTCTACCTCTTTGACCTGCTTATGCCATACAGACTTGACTATTCCTTCTGCTCAACAGGCTCCGCTCATGTACCCCACCCTACCAGCTCTACCATTGGCAGTCGGGCTTTCAGCCTTTCTGCCCTCGTGCTTTGGAACTCCATCCCACAGTCCCTTCGCCTCGCCCCCTCCCCTCCTTCAAGGTCTGTATCAAGATTCTCCTCTTTGACCGAGCCTTCGGCCACCCTCCTACCCTACCCTTCCTGCCATAAACCCCTCCTGATCCCAATGCCCAGCTTGGATTCTTGGCTGTCCAGCACCTTGGTACATCCTCCCAACGTAAAAGGCGCTGTAAAAATGTAATTTGTTGTTTTTGACATTCCAGTATAGTGCTGGGGGTGTACTGCATTGTTGGATGTGTTGTCCTTGGGATAGGACATTAAACCAAGGTCCTGTCTGCCTATTCAGGTGGATCTTAAAGATCACAAAAGAAAAGGGAGTTTCTTTCTCCAACAATTCCCAGATAAAAATTGTTCAGTCGATTCATGGCTGTTTGTGGCACATTGATGTGCGCAAATTGGTTGCTACATTCGCCTACAGTGAAATGCTATGAAATATCCTCCTGACGTCAGTCGCTATATCAAATGCAAGGATTATTATTGAAGAATTACTGTGTAACCAATAACAAAATTAAGGAGAACAGTCAGTCAGCCAGTCAGCGGCACGAGAGCGAGGAGCGGAGCCTAGACCGAGCAGTGGGGATACAGCCACAGTGAGGAGAGCCGTGTCAGAGGATAAAAAAAACAGTGAGAAACTTAAACAGTGACGTCAGAGCGACGTCAGTATCAACAGTAAACTAACAACTATCAACACATCACACACCATGGACTTAACCTGATCAACTTACCTTGATTGGTTTAAGTTAACTTGAGCAACTTAATTGGATCAACTTGATTGACTTAAAAACTTAATTGACTTAACCTAATTAACTTAATTAAACTTAATTGATTGACCTCCTCAGGTTGGAAGAGGTGACAATGGCGGGGCAGGTGTTATGTGAGGAGTGTGACATGTGGGAGCTGATGGAGGGCAGTCTGACCCCGGGTGACCACATCTGCAGAAGATGTCTGCAACCGAGGCAGCTCCAGATCGGAGTGGCTGAGCTGGAGTCCAAAGTGCAGACACTGTGGAGTATCAGGGACCGTGAGTGCTTCCTGGATAGCTACATCCTGGAGCCAGTCACTCCCCTGAGGGAATATACACTCAACTTTGATTATGGTCAGTATAGGTCAATGGACAGTCAGGAGGTCAGCGGGACAACGGAAAGAGTGGTAGTAAATCTGGCATTAACCTTGAACAACAATAAGAGATCCTTGGAACTTATATCGACAAGGGAGCCGGTGAGGTGGAAGGAAAAACTACCTCTAACACTGGGGTAAAAGATGGTTGTTGTCATTGGGGATGAGACTATTAGGAGACAGACACAATCATCTGCAACACCGACCAGAAGGATGTCTCGGCAGGGCGAGAGGACAATTTAAAATATGAGGGCAAGGATCCGTTGGTGGTACTTCACATAGGTACCAATGACATCGGTAGAGTAGGCCAAGATGACTTGAGAAGGGAATTTGAAGAGCTGGGGTCCAAATTGAAGTCGAGATCATCGAAGGTGGTAATAACGGGACTACTGCCTGTACCATACGACAATTGGTACAGGAACAGACAAATTAAGGACTTGAACGCATGGCTAAAAGAGTGGTGTGGAACTCAGGGGTTTCTTTTTATGGGCCATTGGCACGAGTATTGGGGAAAAAGAGAGCTCTTTCGGAGAAAAGGGCTGCATTTAAATCGTGCTGGGACAAATGTCCTAGCTAAACGAATTAACAGGGAAATAAGTAGGAATTTAAACTAGTAAAGGGGGGGAATATATAGGTAAGAGAAACCATTAGAAAAAGTAAAGATGACAGTGCAGAATAGCATGCCAGATAATAGGAATATGTTAACTAGGAGTAAGAAACTTGGCAAAGTAGATAAGGAATCAGCGAGTAGAGGAAGTGGTAGGAAATTAAAAATGTTATAGCTAAATGAGCGAAGCATTCAGAATAAAACTGACGAATTAAAAGCACAGATAGACACATATGGGTACGAGGGATAGGAGGTCTGAGGATGAGAGGGATATAGTTAAATCTGAGGCAAGTATTCTGAATTTAAATAGGGCTAATTTTGCAGGTATGAGGAGAGATTTAGGTAAAATAGACTGGAGCATAAGATTAGGAGGTAAAAATGTAGACCTACAGTGGCAAATATATATAAGGATGTAGTGCAAAATTCTCAGCGGTCGCATATTCCCTTGCGGAATAAGAGCACCACAGGGAAAGCAATTCATCTGTGGCTAACTAGAACAGTTAGGGAAAGAAAAGGCTTATAAAACTGCCAAGAAAAGCGGCAAATCTGAAGATTGGGAGAGTTTTAGAAACCAGCAAAATAGAACTAAAAAACTCATTAAGAGCGAGAATAAGGAGTATAAGGGTAAGCTAGTTAGGAACATTAAGTCTGATTGTAAAAGTTTTTACAAATATATTAAGAGGAATAGGCTAGTGAGGTTAAATGTAGGTCCACTTCAGTTAGAGACAGGAGAAGTTGTAATGGGGGACGAGGACATGGCAGAGTCCCTAAATGGGTACTTTGCATCTGTCTTCGCCCTGGAAGACACAACAAGCCTGCCAACAAGAGAGATGGATCAAAGGGATAAGGACAGGGAGCAACTTAGGGAAATTTTCATTAGTAGAGAATTGGTGCGAGGGAAACTGTTTGCACTAAAAAGTGACAAATCCCCTGGCTTGCATCCCAGGGTTTTAAAAGAGGTAGATTATGAGATAGTGGAGGCCTTATGTCTGATCTTCCAAAATTCCTTGAATTCTGGAACAGTCCCCATGGATTGGAAGATCGCAAATGTCACACCACTATTTAAAAAAGGTGGAAAGGAAAAGATGGGGAACTATAGGCCAGTTAGTCTCACATCAGTGATAGGAAAAATTTTAGAATCATTGATTAAGGATGTGGTAGTGCGGTATTTAGGGGAGCACAATATAATTAGGCCAAGTCAACATGGCTTTACAAAAGGGAAGTCATGTTTGACAAATCTCATAGAGTTTTTTGAGGATATTTCCAGTAAACTAGATAAGGGTGAATCAGTGGATGTGGTCTATTTGGACTTCCAGAAGGCATTCGATAAGGTGCCGCATAAAAGGTTAGTCCAAAAGATAAGGGCCCATGGAATTGGGGGGAGCATATTAACGTGGATTGGGGAATGGTTAACGGGTAGGAAACAAAGAGTAGGGATAAACGGGTCCTTTTCAGATTGGCGGGATGTGACTAGTGGAGTGCCACAAGGATCAGTCCTTGGGCCTCAGCTATTTACCATCTACATCAACGATCTAGATGAGGACATCGAAGTTAATATATCTAAATTTGCGGATGACACAAAACTAGGAGGAAGTGTCAACACAGAGGACGACATTAAAAAAATGCAGCGAGACATAGATAGGTTAGGTGATTGGGCAGGTAGGTGGCAGATGAAGTATAATGTAGGGAAGTGCGAAGTCATCCACCTAGGTAGCAAAAACAGTAGAGCGGGTTATTTTTTAGAAGGGGAGAGATTGGAATGTGTTAGCGTCCAGAGGGACTTGGGTGTCCTTGTACACCAATCACAGAAAGTTAGTCTGCAGGTGCAGCAGCAATTAGGAAGGCGAACGGTATGTTAGCATTCATTATGAAAGGATTAGAGTATAAGAGTAGGGAAGTCTTGCTGCAACTGTATAGGGCCCTGGTGAGACCACACCTGGAATACTGTGTCCAGTTTTGGTCTCCTCATTTAAGGAAGGATGTACTGGTCTTGGAGGGGGTGCAGCGTAGATTTACTAGGTTAGTATCAGGGATGAGTTACGAGGATAGCCTGACCAATTTGGGCCTATATTCTCTAGAATATAGAAGAATTAGAGGGGATCTTATAGAAACCTATAAGATTATCAAAGGGCATGATAGAGTAGATAGTGGGAGATTGTTTCCCCCCCTGGTTGGAGAAACTAAAACCAGGGGTCACAACCTTAATATCAGAGGCAGCCCTTTCGCACTGAGTTGAGGAAGAACTTCTTCACTCAAAGGGTGGTGAATGTATGGAACTCGCTACCCCAAAGGGCTGTTGACGCTCAGTCCTTGAACATATTCAAGACTGAGATAGATAGATTTCTTATTGCAAAAGGGATTAAGGGATATGGGGATAAGGCAGGGTTAGGTTATTTGCTGGAGTTAGATTAGAAGATCAGCCATGATTGAATGGCGGGGCAGGTTCGAAGGGCCGAATGGCCTGCTCCTACATGTTACGTTAAAATTCTGTCAAATTACCATGATCTACAAAATAAGACTAGTCAGAAAAGAATGCAAAATATAGGACAAGAAAGAGAATCTGCTCCTTCCAACAAATATTTGATACTCCACCTTATCACGTTGTCGAGACATCTCAAAGCGCATCAGCAAACTATAGCAAGTCTTTGTATTCAGTACAGATGTATTGCAGTGCAAATCATCTGCCACTCTTTATTGCTTTTTTCCTTTGTATGCACAATCAAGAACATAAAAGTGCCGTGTAGCTATCCATTGGAATTGAAATAGAATTGTACAGAATTGATCACTCTTACCTTTCAAATGTTCACTTTTAAGACCTGCCATATTACACTTTTTTGAAAGGTGCCCAGGCAAATGTACTGTAATCCTGTGAGACAGGTCCACTGTGCAACCAGGTATGTTGAAAGGCTACCTTTTATATTTTCTTTCAAAGGATTATTTAATTTTTTTCAGGAGAAAGTTATCCCCTGCTTGTTGCGTCTCAGGCAGGTAAGCGATGAAGTACTTCAGGAAACTGTCAGGGAAGCTCTGGCTTTGGTTGGATATACAGATCCCGTCAAGGGCCATGGCATTCGAGTCCTGTCAATTGATGGAGGAGGAACGAGGTAAAGATTTATTCAAGGCATTTATCATATAAATTTCAACGGTATGTTTGTTTTTTTTGTGTAACATTTCTTTCCCCATTCTGGTTTTCCCTGTTTAATGCCTCATATCTGCCATGCACTACAACAACAAATTACTCATGTATAGTGCCCTTCACGTCGGAAAGACGTCCTAGGGCATCGGACAAGGCATAATTGAAGAGGAAGGTCTTCAGACGGAACTTGAAGGAGGCAAGAGAGGGTGTGAGGCGGAGGGATTGCGAGTTCCAGAGTGTAGGGGCAGAGATGCTGAATGCCTGACCGCCAATGGTGGGGAGCGAAGTGCGAGGGACCTGAAGCAGGCCAACGTCCACCGAGCGGAGGGAGCGGAAATGCTGAGATGGGGTTATGAGGTCGGAGAGGTAGGGGGGAGCAAGACCGTAGAGGGCCTTGAATGTAAGAACAAGGGATTTGTACTCGATTCTCTGAGGGATGGGGAGCCAATGAAGCCGAGCAAGAACAGTGGTGATAGGTTCCCAGAGCCTGAGGTGCAGAGCTGCAGAGTTCTGAATAATCTTCAGTTTGTGGACGGAAGAGTTGGAATGTCAATGAGGAGGCAGTTGGTGTAGTCAAGCCAGGACGTAATGAAAGTATGGATCAGGGTCTCGGCGGCCTGTGGTAAGAGGAAGTGGCGGAGGTGGGTAATGTTGCGGAGGTGTGGAAAGGTGGAACGGGTCACGGCACGAATGTGAAGGATAGGATGTGGGGTTTGAAGGATAGTTGAGGGTTGGAAAGGACACCAAGGTTTCGAATTGGCTCGGTGTGGTGAAGAGTGGTGCCACGAATAATGATAGTGTCAGCGGCTGAATTGAGGAGGCGCTTCCGGGAGCTGTGAGCAGCACAAAGCCCAGATTGGAGGGAATGCTGGGAGAGGAAAGAGTGAAGCTGGGAAGCGACGACTTGTTCCATGTCCTTTGATAGAAAAGGAGGTTTTGAAATGGGGTGATGGTTGAAGAGCAGAGATGAGTCACGGGAAGATTTTTTGAGGATAGGGGTGATGATGGCTGTCTTTAGGGGAATGGGTATGGTGCTGGTGGACAGGGAGAGGTTAACAAGGTCTGTTAGTAGGGGAGCAAGAAGGTGGAGGTGGGAAGTGTAGGGATGGGGTCAAGGGAGCAAGTGGTGGGTTTTATACAGGAAATGATGGAGATGAGCGAAGAGGGAGATACTGGGTCAAAAGTGTGTGGAGGGAGGGATGGGGGGGTGTTGGAAGGGGAACGAGAGGTGGGGAGGACGTGGGGGTGGGGGTAGTAGAGGAGGCAGAGCGGATCCCCTCAATTTTGGACTCGAAATCCGTCATCTCACATTTGGTATTGGAGGAGAGGCATGGGAGGGTGGATGGATGGCTCCTGGTTGTCCCAGAGCAGCCAACTCACCTGTCCATCACTCATTCTCTCTGCAGCAACTGCCTCCAAAAGGCAAACACCCCTTCCCCCTCCTTCAGCCATACCCTCACCAATCTCCCTGCTCCTCAAACTCCACAGTCATTTCACCCCCACGACCCCAAATCCTCTCCATACCACTCTCTCCTCCGTTTCCCCCCCACCAGCAAACCCATCCGCATTTCCATATAAAATGTCTGCTCCCTCTCCAATAAAGCCCTCACTATCCATGACCTCATCCTGGATGAGCACGTGGATATTCTTGGGCTTATGGAAACCTGACTCTCCCCCGGTGTCCGTCCCCCTAGTTGAAGTCTCCCCTCCTGGCTACACCTTCCACCACACCCCCCGTCCTAAACAAAGTGGCAGTGGGGTGGTCTTCATCTCCCAAGCTTCCCTCGGTCAATCCGTTTATTCCTCTGGCTACTTCTCTTCATTTGAGCACCACACCCTCTACCATCCCTCCTCTCTCAAAATTCTCCTGGTTTATCGCCCCCCAAAACCCCCTGGCTCCTTCCTCTCTGATATCTCCAATCTCTCTTCCCTGTCCCTCTGTTCAGAACGCCTGCACATAATGAGTGACTTCAACCTCCACCTAAACTCCCCTTGCACCACATCCTCAGATTTCACTGCCCTCCTCTCCTCCCTAAACCTCACCCTCCACATCAACTTGCCGACCCACCACCGTTGCCACCCCCTCAACCTCGTCATCACACGTGGCCTTCACATTTCCGATCTTTGCATCACAGCTTTTAAGAGAGAACTACAGCTTTTAAGAGAGAACTGGATAGTTATCTGGGGAAGACGGGTTTGCAGGGTTATGGGGAGATAGCTGGTGATTGGGATTAGTGAAAGTGACTTGCTCTGTCAAAGAGCCGGCGCAGACTCGTTGGGCCGAATGGCCTCCTTCTGTGCTGTAACATTCTATGAAAATCTATGAATCACAGACAAGACCATCACAGAACCACTTCCTCATCTCCTTCTCCTCTCGCATCCCTCTCCCTTCCATCAAGACCTCAACCATACTTTTCCACCCATGGAAAAGGCTTTCCCCCGAGACCTTCATAAAGGTCCTCTCATCCTCAGACCTCCTATCCCTCTGGCTTTCCACCCACAGCGATCCTGAAGCAGCCATCATGCTGCTCCACGATCGCCTCTCCTCCACCTTCAACTCCCTCATTCCCCTGAAATCCAGGACCGTCTCCAAACCCACCCGCTCTCACTGGTAGAACAGCCATCTCCGCTCCTTAAAATCCCAAACCCGGTTACTCGAGTGCAGGTGGCAGAAAACCAGCCTCACGGTTCACCACCATCTGTGGCTCAAGCATCTTCACACCTACCGCCGCTCTCTATCACAAGCAAAAACTGTGCATTACTCAAACATCATACTGAGGCCAGTAATAACTCCAAAATCCTATTCTCCACCGTTCACCACTTCTTCCATGCGCCCCATCAAGCAACGTCAATCATCACATATAACGCCAAGTGCGAAGAGGTCATGGATTTCCTTACCTCTAAAATTGACAACATCCACCTGGCAGCTTCATCCTCCTGCCCCATGTTGCCTACCACCACCCCCATCCCATCTCCCTCACACACACCGTCCTTAGCTCCTACTGCGGCCCCCATCCTACATTCATTTGTCCCCATCTCTCCTTCCTCCCTCCACTATCACCACAATGAAACCCACCATCTGCTGCCTCAATTCCCCTCCCCAGTCAACTGCTGATCACTCAACTCCCCTCCTCTGCCCACTGCTGGCAGACACTATTAACCAAATTCTCTCCTCAGGATCAGTCCCACTCACCCTCAAAACCACAATCATCACCCCCCTCCTTAAAAAAGCTACCCTCGATCCCTCCAACTCGGCCACTATCCTCCTATCTCAAACCTGCCTTTCCTTGCCAAAGCTCTGGAATGCGTTGTTGCCAACCAATTTCACGCACACCTCTCCATCCACACCTTACTCGAACCCTTCCAATCCGGTTTCCGCCCTGCCCACAGTACAGAGACAGTGCTCATGAAAGTCACAAACTATATCCTCTCTTATCTGTGATCAGGGCTCCCTCTACCTCCTCGTCCTCCTGGACTTCTCTGCCACATTTGACACAGTCGATCACCCCTGTCCTCCATCATCCACCTCAGTGGGACCACACTCGCTTGTTTCGAGTCCTACCTTACAAACCCTCAGCGCTACGTTTCTGCAAATGGTTTATCTTCGCACTTCCACCCAGTTACCTATGGGGTACCCCAAGCATCCATACTTGGCCCCCTTCTCTTACTTATCTATATACTCCCTCTCGGTGATGTCATCCGCAGACACAGGGTTAACTTCCACATATATACGGATGACACTCAACTCTACTTCTCCTCCAGATGTGACCTTCAGCCCCCTGATGTTCTGTCAGCTTGTCTGTCGAACAACAGGAGCTGGATGAGCACAAATTTCCTGCAGTTCAACGTCAACAAGACGGAAGCCATACTCTTTGGCTCCTGCTGACGTCTTCTGTACTCCAACTTCCTCAACCTACCCGACCAGTCCTTAAAACTCTTTGAACTTAGGCGTCAGGTTCATCCCCAGTTATGCTTCCTCCCCACATCCGGTCCCTGACCAACACCACTTTCTTCTACCTCCACCACATTGCCCGTCTTCGACAATACCTTATGCCAAAAGCTGCTGAAACCCTTGTCCATGCCTTTGTCGCCTCTCGGCTGGTCTATAGCACCCTCCTCACCAGTCTCCCCACCTCCACTATTCACAAAATTCAGCTAATTCAAAACTCCGCCGCCCACATTCTCATCTGTACCAAACTTTGTACCCCGATTACTCCAGTCCTTGCCAAACTCCACTGCCTCCCTGTCACAGAGTGGATTGACTTCAAGATCCTCACTGTAGTGTTTTAATCCCTCCATTCCTTGGCACCCACCCTATCTCTCTAACTACTTCTATCCCCACAGCAGTACCCACTGCCTCCGCTCTACTGGGTCCGGCCTTCTCCACGCCCCTGAAACCTCCGCTCCACCATTGGCGGTCGTGCCTTTAGCCACTACGCCCTGAAACTTTGGAACTCCCTCCTTCAACCCCTTTGCCATGCTCTCTCCTTCCCCATCTTCAAGTGGCGCCTGAAGACCTTCCTTTTCAATGGCGCCTACAGTCACCTTCCCCCTGCTCTGGCTCAGCCTTTGGGCTACACTGTGCACAAAGTGCACTGAGACGCTGCCCGGCATGGAGGGCTCTATATAAGTGCAAGTTGTTGTTGGAGGAGGAGGAGGAGTTGGTATATGGTACAAAAAGAGGAGTTTGGGATTGTCCTTAGCTTCCAAGATGATTTTGGAATCAAAGGATGACTTAGCTGAGGCAAGGGCAGAGCGGAGGCCAAGACAATAATAAATTGGTCATTTTCAATCCACGACTATTTGTGGGACATTGCTGTGCGCAATTGGCTGCCGCGTTCGCCCACAAATATACAGTCAGTTCACTTTACAGTGTGTTCTGTGAAGCGCTTTGGGACGTCCTCCTGACCTGAAAAGCGCTATATCAAATGTAAGGATTATTATTTTTATTATTGGTGCAGTCCTGCCAGCTCTGACAGTGAATTGTTAATTTGGATTTGCGCCTGATGCATTCAGCAGAGTGCCCCTGAAATTTGAGGGAGCAGAGGTGGCTGGTTTACCAGGGGCATTTGTGCAAGTAGGAGGTGGTGTGGGAGATGACGGGAATGACCGAGAGGGAGTTGTTTAGAAGGGTGACCAAGAAGGGTAGGTCATTGGCAATTCTCTGTGGAATTGTGGAATTCTCTGGGTTTCAGCTGATTTTTTCTCACAGCTTGGCATTACAGAAGTGATTGCCTCTAAGCTTTCATTTCCTTATCTCTGCCTGGCTACTTCCCTTAGCAGCATGGTTCATTGTGCATCATTGTGGAGTCCTGTAGCAAACCTCACAAGCAAGAGGACCCGGGTTCGATTCCTGGGCAGGACAAAACTTTAGGCAAGTTTTCTTACTCCATTCGCCTTTGTTATCAACTTATCAGTTAGTTGATTGGCATATCGCTTTCCAGGGGTAATAATCTTCCCCCCCACCAAAAAAATTGGCACTCAATCCACAACTGCTTGTTGGACACTGCTATGCGCAATTGACTACCGCATTTTGACCGCAGAATGCATAGTCAATCGATTTTACAATATACTCTGTGAAACTCTTTGAGACTTCTCAACGACGTGATAAGGTACAATATCAAATGCAAAGATCATCATATTATTACTGGATATGGATCCAATTTTAATCCAAGAAACTGTGACGTCGCAGATGTGAAAAGTACAAGCAGTTCTCCTGGCACAGGTGAGGTATTCTGAATCTGAGTTTAAGACACATTTTAGCAAAAAAGCTTTGTTTCCCTTTGGCTGTTAAAGAGTTGGATTTTGTTTATATATTTGCATGAAGATCTGTCAATTGCTGAAAGGTCCCATAATAAGGCAGGATCTTGTAACCGGGTTCCACTGTGCTTCCTTCTCAAATAATTTACATCTTGGTTTGAATATTATAGAGAATATATTTGTAATTTTAAACTTGTGGGAAAGGGAAGGTTTAAAAACAATTATTTCAACAAAAGTCACTTNAAAAAATCTTGATTGTGATGATAGAATAATGCAGCTACTTGGATTTAAGAAGTGTGAAGTTTGCTTACAAAATTGATCGAATGTTGAATATGTTTTTACTCGTTCCAGGGGTCTGGTTGCTCTTCAGACTCTGCGACAACTGGAACAGCTTACTGGCAAACCAGTTTATCAACTCTTTGACTATATATGTGGAGTCAGTACAGGTGAGTACAAGAAAAAAAAAACTTTTTGTTTTGTCTCATCAGACTGTTGGATTGTAGAAAGTTTACAAAGTGCCATTTGTATAGCTTTTTATTGACGCAAATGTGAAATTGTAATAAAATGATTGATTTAATGCTGTTTTATAAATATGACATACTCTTAATGTAACAGTTTGTTTTTACCATTACCACTGTTTGTGGGACACTGCTGTGCACAATTGGTTGCCGCTTTTTGCCCACAAAATATACAGTCAATTCACTTTACAGTATATTCTGTGAAGCGCTTTGAGATGCCCCAAAGACATGATGAGGCGCTATAGCAAATGCAAGGATTATTATTATTCCAAGGCCATTCTTAAGACCCTGCCCAAAAGTGAGTTTTTCATTCACATTGTCCAGACTGTTTGTGACGTTTTTTGAATCACACTGCATGTTCAGGTTCAAACACACATTCAAATAGAATATTTGGTAAAACTAAACATATCAATCTTTCCAATATATTTGCCGGCCTTCCTGCCTCATGAGCCCGTCACCCCCATCATGATCTAGATCCACTGGCTCTGTATCTCTGAGTGGAACAGCTTTAAGGTCATATTTGTTTTCATATGCTTCTATGACCTTGGCCCACCTACTTATGATCCTACAGCCCTAACTACTTACTCCAAAAATTGAATTATACCGCCCTCGACCTGCCCCATTTTAAAATACTGTCAGCTAAGTGGATAAGGCAATTTGGCACCACATCACCACCGGAACAAGCTAAACTGTTTTTAGGTCATTGCAGTAATTACACTTGACTGCATGAACCCAGGTCTGATTCAGCACACTGCAGAGGAAATACCGCTGAAAGTTCTCTTAAAATGCAATTTATAACATAATCTTGCATTTGATATAGTTTCTAATGATGATGTTGAGACGTCTCAAAGCTCGCCACAGAATGTATTTTTTTTCTTTTTGAGGGATTATTATTCCCAGAAAGCGATCCGCCTATTGACTAAAACTGGGTTCCTACTTACTGCTAGGAAAACCAAGGAGTGTTGAGTAAAGGAACTTGTCTGAGGTTTTGCCCCACCTGGGAATCGAACCTGGATCTTCTTGTTTGCGAGGGGAACATGCTAACCACTAAGCTACAGGATTCCACACAAAATATACTAATTTACCTTTTACCATTTTCAGGTGCAATATTAGCCTTTATGTTGGGATTGTTCCACATCTCGTTGGACGAATGTGAGGAAATGTACCACAAGCTGGGGTCAGATGTATTCAAGCAGAATGTCATAGTGGGAACAATGAAAATGAGCTGGAGCCATGCCTTTTATGAGAGTGAACCCTGGGAAAAAATACTGAAGTAAGTTTAAGTGCAAACTTTTTTTTAAAAAAGCACTCCTTGTGTTTTCTATTCCACAAAAATTCCTTTAGAAAAATTAACAGTTAAGAAATGTTTTAACTTGGATACATGTGGAGTCCCATAGCTTAGTGATAAGTGCTCTCCCTCGCAAGTGAGAGGATCCAGGTTTGATTCTCAGGCGGGGTGAAACCTTAGGCAGGTTTCCTTACTTAGAAGTTAAAATATGAATTCCCTCTGCAAATTTGCTTAGCTGTTGCTTCCAGTTGCTGAGCTACAGTTATATCATACCTGAAAGCTTTTCATATTGTGGTTCAAAGAAACCTTGTGATGCACAACTGCATGAAAGACAGACAGAGTCAAATCCTAAAGGACAGTGTGGTGCCATCATGCAGCAACAACAAATTGCATTTATAAAGCGTCCTTCATGCGGGACAGCATCTCAGAGCTCTTGACAGTGACGGAGACTGACGCTGATCCGAGGGGAGTAAGCAGGGGCTTCAGTCATGATCTGAAAGAAGGAAAGCAGGAGATAAGGCGGAGGGATTCAGCTTCTAGGCTTAGTGGCTGGAAGCGTGGCTGCCGATGGTGGAGGGGACAAGGAACAAGCAGGAGGCCAGAGCGAGCTGAGAGGAGGTGGAGGGTAGTAGAGTGGGGAGAATGCAAGTTGGAAAGATAGGGAGGTGCCAGGGCGTGAAAGGGATTTGTAAATTAGAGAGGATCTTGCAGTTGATGCGTTCTGTGATAGGGAACCAGTGGACCCTGGATTGATGGGGGGGTGGAGTTTATTGTTGGTGAGTATATGGGTGGCAGATGCACTGATGTGGCAATGGATAAAGCTGCAGAACAAAGTACAGTTCCTATCACTGCATGGTGAGCATTTTAACTCTGCCGTCAGGGTAAGTGTTCACCAACAAACAGTAGAGCAAGGAAAAATGGAATGTGAAGTTAACCTCAGCCATTTCTGAGCATCGTTACATGTATAGCTGATGTGTTTGTGTTGAGGTCATATTAACATCAGTTTCATGTTCTTAATTTCAGGGAAAGAATGAGTGAGAATTTAATGATTCAAACTGCAAGGGATCAGAACAGTATTAAAGTGAGTTTCTTGCTTATTTGTTTCTTTGTTTGTTAGTTCGTTTATTTATGCAAACATAAATATTTCATCTTAACTGGATATTGATCAGATCAGTTTGGAGCAAATTTTAACTGAAGTTCTGTTTACTTGTTCAGATGAACTTTAAAGATCCATTGGCACTATTTCTCTTTTCAGTATCCTGGTCAAAAATCATTGCGATTTTTAAAAAAATGATCGTTCATTTCCTGGCTGTTTGTGGAACTGTGCTGTGTCCAAATTGGCTGCTGTTTTCCTCTACAGATATATTCACTAAACTTGATAGAAAAAGTTTATGAAACATTTGGAGATGTTCCTGACATAAATGCTACATCATATGGAGTCGTATAATGTAGTGTATAGAGCGCAAGAGGAGCCGGGATTGATTCCTGGGCAGGACGAAATGTTAGACAAGTTTCCTTATTCCACATGCCTCTGTTTATCTAGCAGAAAGTAGGAACTCAATTGTTAATCAGTTGGTGGATCGCTTTAAATGGGTAGTAATCCCTCCAAAAAACAAAATTAAAAAAAATAAAAATTGGATCACTCAATCCACGGCTGTATGTTTGTGTCTATTGTACTATTGTGTCCAATTGGCTGCCGCGTTTCCCTCACAAAATACAGTGAATCTACTTTGCAATATATTCTGTGAAGCGTTTTTTTAAGGTTCTATATCAAATGCAAGGATTATTATTATTATAGACATTGCTGTTGCAGAGGTAAGGAGAATACGGTGATCCCAATACTTGTTTCGGGTGTTCACTTTCCATGTGTGTTGGGTGCCATTCATTATGAAAACATTTTTACTTACCTTCCGTGCTCGTGCACATCAAATGGATGTGTTAACAACCTGTGTTGTTAACGAGAAAATTGTGAGCTTCAAACGTAAACTGAAGGCAAGTTATTGGTGGAAGTAAATGATACACTGGTGTGATGTTCGTTTTTTGTATTGAGTGCATAATAATAATAATCCTTGCATTTGGTATAGTGCCTTATCACGTTTGGAGACATCTCAAAGCGCTTCATAGAATATACTGTAAAGTGAATTGATTGTATATTTTTTGGGCGAAACACAGCAGCCAATTGCTCACAGCAGTGTCCCACAAACAGTCATGGATTGAATAACCAATTTATTATTTTTTGAAGGAATTGTTACCCCCGGAAAAGCGATCCGCCAATTGACTAGCAACTGGGTTCCTACTTACTGCTAGATAAACAGAGGCATGGAGTAAGCAAACTAGCCCAATATTTCACTCTGCCCGGGAATCAAACCAAGGTCTCTTGCTTGCGAGGTGGGTGCTCTAACCACTGAGCTACAGGTCTCCAGTGGCCGATGTCCTTTTTTTGTCCCCTGGCATAACAGCACCATCCTTAGCACAGCACCTTGAGCACCAAACATGAAGAAATATACACTTGCTCATGCACTACATTCCTTTGCCTACAATTCCTGAAAGTGCTTTGTGACCTTTTGACCACAAAAGTCCTGTTACCCCCATGTTTTTTTGGCTATAGCTATACTCACCAACAACTGAAACATGTGGAAGAATGATGATAATTGTATTTAGAAGTACTTAATTGTATTTAGACGTCAAGAGGATTGGTCTGACCGCCATCGTTTTCACAGCAGATAATGATCCTGTACAACATCTTCTGTAACATGGATGGATTGACGAGATGAAATAGATCTGTGACAACTTGTTTCTGCTTCTCCGGAGTTTCATATTGCTGTTTTGTAACAGGGTGTAAGAGGACTTTGTGGATACCCAGTACAAAGTGCTATAAAACATTATTTTTTCTACTGCTTAAAACGTTCTTTTACTTTCTAGGTGGCTGCTGTAAGCACAATAGTGAACAAAGGGACACCTCTGAAAGCATTTGTCTTCAGGAACTACAACCACTTGCCCAGTGTGAGGTCGCACTATATGGGAGGCTGTCAATCTAAACTTTGGCAGGCAATCAGAGCGTCCTCAGCTGCACCAGGCTATTTTCAAGAATATGCAATAGGCAGTGACCTTCATCAGGTAAAGCTCACTTTAAAGTACTGGAAACACCTGGCTTTGCATTCATATTTTTTGCTCAACCGGGTGTCTGACGCATGCGGAAACTCATCCCCGTGCTTAAGAGTATTCAAACGAAACTGAGAATTCTATACATCCAACCTACACATGGAATTCCAGAGATAGATTGTTGGAATGGAATGTGCATTCCCAGGAGGATGCATCCTGCTTACCTGATTCCCGAGAGTATTTGGTGCAAGTTGGCAAGATTAGGGACCCCAGAGTGTGCGCTGGGGTAACTTGGAGTCTAATCAGCTAAAACCACATAACTTGCCATTGAGATCACTGTCTGGAAAGCTTTCCTGCTGCTTGTCCAGCTTGGACCATATTAGGGCTTTGGCTTGCAGGGTTGACAGGAGTTGAGTGGGGGTGGATTCCCTGCCCCCAGACCAGTCACTGAGGCTGGCTGTGCTGTCATCAGAAGTGCCCTGGAGTATAGCAGACCCATCTTGCTCAGGAACTGGACTAGAGACTGTCACTCAGGGTTGATTCCACTGCCAAGCATGTAACCTTGGAACCAGTTCAGCTCCTAGAAGTTAGTAAAACTTTCATAAGTCTCCTCTTTAAAATTTGTATACTCACCTAAGTCGTACATTCACTTGAGTCCCAGTCAATTTCCTATCAAAACCACTTAGATTTCTTTACTCTAGTTGTATTAATCACCTCCTAACTCGTAACACCGCTCCCCTACCCGTCATTATTCCCACACTTACTGGCTGCTTGGATCGCAGGAAATGACATCCTGACCCATCGACATGGGCGCACTTACCAGCCAGCTGCATTGAATCGTGGGAAACATAGTTTTCATTTGTTGACGCATACGCAGAAGAATTCCATTTCCTGCGATTTCAACATTTGCTGTAAGTGCACATGTAGTGACGGGTCAAGACACATTGAATCGTGGGGAGTGTAGTCTTAAGCCGTCACTGCTTAGGCATTTACTGGCTGCAATGACGTATCTAGGCATCAGGTGTGACCCACATACCTATCACTCCGCAGGCTTCCCATCACTGAACAGATTGATTTCAAGATCCTTTCATCTTCAAATCCCTTCATGCCCCAGTATCTCGCTACCTCCGACCTGCTTACTCCCCAAACTCACTCAAGCCTCCTGCTTGTCCCTTGTGCCCTCTGTTCCACTTTCAATGGCTGCGCTTTCAGCCACTATGCCATGAAACTCTTGAACACTCTCCCTCAATCCCTCCATCTTGCCCCCTCCTTCTCCATCCTCAGGTAGCTCTGAAGACCTGACTCTTCAATCATGTTTACGGTGACTTCCCCCCCCGGCTCAGTGTCGTGCTCTACCACTGTTCAGCATGCTGAGACCCAACCCTGTGCGAGGGGCGCTAAGAACATGAGAAATAGGAGCAGGAGTAGGTCATTCGCCCCCTCAAGCCTGCTCCGCCATTTAATAAGATCATGGCTGATCTTCTAACCTAATTCCATTTACCCGCCCTATCCCCATATCCCTTAATCCCTTTAGTTTTTAAAAATCAATCAATCTCAGTCTTCAATATGTTTGGTGACTGAGTACCCACAACCTTTTGGGGTAGAGAATTCCGTAAATTCACTACACTCTGAGTGAAAAAATGTTTTCTCAACTCAGTTCTAAAAGGCTGACCTTTAATCCCGAGACTATGACCACTTGTTTTAGATTCTCCAACCAGGGAAAACAGTCTCACAATATCTATCCTGTCAAGACTCTTAAGAATCTTATAGGGGTTTTCTATAAGATCACCTCTAATCCTTCTATATTCTAGAGAATATAGGTCTAGTCTACTCAGTCTCCTCGTAGGTCAACCCCCTCATTCCAGGAATCATCCTTGTGAACCTACGTTGCACCCCGTCTAAGGCGAGTATATCCTTTCTTAGATAAGGAGACCAAAACTGCACACAATATTCTAGGTCCTCCCTAGGTCCAACAAATGGACGTCCTCCCAAAGTGAAAGGCGCTCTATAAATGGAATCTTGTTGTTGTTGTAGGTGCGGTTTCACCAAGGCCCTATACAATTGCAGCAAGACTTAAAAATAATAATAATAATAATCCTTGCATTTGATATCGCGCTTTTCACGTCTTCTCGACGTCCCAAAGCGCTTCACAGGATATACTGTAAAGTGAATTGACTGCATATTTGTGGGCGAATGTGGCAGCCAATTGCGCACAGCAATGTCCCACAATTGAAAATGACCAATTTATTATTGTTTTGTTTTTTTGGAGGGATTATCATTAGGTGTGTGGAGTAAGGAAACTTGCCCAAGGTTTCGCTCTGCCTGGAATTGAACTCAGGTCTCTCACTTGCAAAGCGAGTGCTCTGACAACTGAGCTACAGGACTTCCCTATTCTTGTACTGTAACCCCTTTGCAATAAACGCTAACATGCTATTAGCCTTTCTAATTGCTTGTTATACCTGCATATTAGCTCATCTATCCAACACCAACTACAAGGCGATGCTGGACTTCCTTGAAACCAAAGTTGAGGGGATCCGCTCAGCTGCCTCTACCCTTCCATCTACTACTCCCTCCCAATATCCCCCTCACACCCCAGCCCCTACCCATCCCTCCCTCCACACCTTCAAACCTGTCTCCCACTCCTCCCTCACCACCACCACCACTAATAACCCGCATGAAACCGATCACCTTCTCCCTTGACCCCATCCCTACCCCTCTCTTTACCTCCTAGCTCCACCTCCTTGCCCCTCTACTCGCAGACATCATAAACCTCTCCCTGTTCCCTGCCACTGTTCCTTATCCTTAAAAACCCTCCCCGGACCCATCCCAGCTCTCAAACTACCACCCATCTTCAACTTCCCGTTCCTGGAATGAATTGTCGCTTTCCAGCTTTTGCTCCTTTCTCTCCCGCCACTCCCTTCTCAAACCCCTTCAATCAGGTTTCCATGCTGCCCGCAGCGCAGAAACAGCTTTGGTCAAAGTGACAAATTACATTTTGTCCATCTGCGACTAGGGCTCCCTCTGCCTCCTCGTCCTCCTTGACCTCTCTGCTGACTCCGATACCGTTGACCACTGTATCCTCCTCCACAGCCTCTCCTCTCACCTCAACCTTCGTAGTTCTGTCCTTGAATGGTTCAGATCCTACCTCTCATATAGTCTCTACTTCATCTCCGCAAACAGTTTCGGCTCTAGCCCCCACACCACCTTGTGCGTCATTCCTCAGGGCTCTGCCCTTGGTCCCCTCCTCTTCAATATCTATGTGCACTCTCTTGGTGACATCATCCACAGACGTGGGATCAACTTCCACATGTATGTAGATGACACATAACTATCTCTCGGCCTCCACCCTTGACTCCAGGACCACTGGTGCCCTGACAGACTGTCTGTCAGACATCAAGTCCTGGATGAGAGCTAACTTTCTTCAGTTCAACGTCAACAAGACTGAGGCTCTCCTGATTGGCACTCATCAGCGCCTCCACACCTCAGCCGCTGACAACATCAGTATCCATGGATGCAACTCCACCTTACTAAGCCAGTCCGGAAGCTTGGTGTCTTGTTTGACCCTCAACTATCCTTTCTACCCCACATTCATGCCATGACCCGCTCTGCCTTCCCCCACCTCCGCAACATTGCTCGCCCAGCTCTGCCACTGTCTCACACCGCAGGCCCTCGAAACCTTCAATACACGCTTTCATAACATCCAGGCTTGACTATGCAAACTCTCTACCTGTCAGCCTCCCCAACTCCTCCATCCATAGGCTGCAGATCATTCAGAATTCCGTAGCCCATGTCATCTCCCATACCAGGTTCCATCATCCTATCACCCCCATCCTCGCCCGACTCCACTGGCTTCCCATCACACAGAGGATACAGTTCAAGATCCTGGTCCTCACCGTCAAAGCCCTCCATCGTTTTGCTTCCTCTTCTGCGACTTTCTAACCCCCTACCATCCGGCCGGTCCCTCCGCTCAGCGCGCTCTGGCCTGCTTCACGTCGCCCGTCTCACTCGCCCTACCATTGGCGGGCCTTCAACCACTCTGCCTCCACCCTCTGGAACTCCATCCCGCAGCCACTCTGCCTCGCCCCCTCCCTTGCCTCCTTCAAGAGCCATCTCAAGACCCATCTCAAGACCCTCCTCTTCAATCGTACCTTCAGTCACCCTCCTTCCACTCTGCCCTCCACCCTTCCCGCACCCGACCCCAGCTCAGGTCCAAAACACTGATTGTTCAGCTCCTTGGGACATCCTCCCAATGCAAAAAGTGCTATACAAATGTAATTGTTGTTAAAACTAGGTTCAGAATAATATGGGGAAAACAAATTATCTTTAGAGCATCACTTCCTTTCACCTTGATGTGCTGTCTTTCCACTTTAATCCCACATCCATGAACATTTGTAGCACATCTGCTCACAACACAGTCATGATTCTGTGAGAATGATTCTGTGCCTGCTCTTTTTTAACAGGAATTGCTGTGTGAACAGGAAGGTTGAACGACAAAGAGAATTTATTTGTTAGTTTTTAAATAATGGGAAGAGGAGTAAAACCAACAACAACAATAATTTGCATTTATATAGCGTCGTACACGCCAGGCAGCGTCCCAGAGCGCTTAAACGTCCGAAGTTGGTCTTCCTGCTTCCTACCTCTGTGACCTTCTAAACCCTTCCAATCTGTCCGCTCCTTCCGCTTGGCGGGTCCTTGCCTGCTCCACTTCGCCCACCCTGCCCGCTCCACAATGGCAATCTGGCTTTTAGTCTTTCTGCCCCCCCCCTCCCCCCCCTGAAACTCCATCCCAGAGCCCCTCCACCTCGCTCCCTCCATTGCCTTCTTCAAGACTGATCTCAAGACCTTCCTCTTCGACTGCACCTTTGGTCTTCTTGCCACCCCACCACCCTACACCCCTCGTAACGCCAGCCTGCAGCTCAGGTGCAAACCCTTCACTGTCTAGCATCTTGGGACGTCCCCTGATGTGAAAATGCAATTGGTGTTGGTGTTCTCATTCTGTATGTAAAATTGAATAGAGTTAATGTAGCTATCAAGCTACCGGCCCATCTCTAACCTCCCCTTCCTGTCCAAGGTCCTGGAACGAGTTGTCGCCTCCCAGCTGCGCTCTTTCCTCTCCACCCATTCATTATTTGAACCCCTTCAGTCGGGTTTCCGTGCTGCCCATAGTACAGAAACTGCCCTGGTCAAGGTCACCAATGACATCCTGACCATCTGCGAACAGGGCTCCCTCGTCCTCCTCGACCTATCGGCAGCATTCGATACGGTCGACCACACTATCCTCCTCCACCGCTTGTCCTCCCACCTCAACCTTCAAGGCCCTGACCTTGAGTGGTTTAGGTCGTACCTCTCCCACAGTCTTCATTTTGTTTCCACGAATGGTTTTTCCTCCAGCCCCCACACTGTCTCGTGCGGTGTCCCTCAGGGCTCTGTCCTCGGTCCCCTCCTCTTCACCCTCTATATGCTCCCCCTTGGTGACATCATCCGCAGACATGGGGTTAACTTCCACATGTATGCAGATGACACCCAACTCTACCTTTCCTCCTCTACTCTCAACTCCACGACCACCGATGTCCTGACAGCTGCCTGTCCGACATCGAGTCCTGGACGAGAGACAACTTTCTTCAGTTTTATGCACACGTTGAGTGCGTAAAACTGAGGCCCTCCTGATTGGCTCACATCAGCGCCTCCGCACCTCAGGCGCCGACACCATCAGCATCCAAGGCTGCACTCTCCACCTCTCAAAGCCGGTCAGGAACCTCGGGGTTCTGTTTGACCCTGAGCTGTCCTTTCTCCATCATATCTGCGCCACAACTGGCACTGCCTTCCATCACCTCCGGAATATCGCCAGACTACGGCACTACCTCACCCCTCACGCTGCTGAAACCCTGGTCCATGCCTTTATCACCTCAAGACTGGACTATGGGAACTCTCTCCTCCCCGGCCTTCCCGGCACCTCCCTCCACAAGCTGCAGGTCATTCAGAACTCTGCAGCTCGTGTACTGTCCCACACCAGGCTTCGCGACCACATCACTCCCACCCTCGCTCGCCTCCACTGGCTCCCCATCCCCCAGAGGATCGAATTCAAGATCCTCATCCTCACCTACAAGGCCATTCACGGCCTTGCTCCCTCCTACCTCTCCGACCTGCTATTCCCCTACTTATCTGCCCGTACCCTCCGTTCCTCTGGCTCGGGTCTGCTCCACATCCCCCGCCCCAACCGCCCTACCATCGGTGGCCGGGCCTTCAGCCTCTCAGCCCCGAGGCTCTGGAACTCCATCCCCAGTGCCTTCGCCGCCTCCTCCCTTTCCTCCTTCAAGGCCGGTCTCAAGACCTTTCTCTTTGACCGTGCCTTCAGCTCCCCTCTCGACTCTCTACCCCCTTCTCGCTCCCTACCTTCCCTCCCCTCACCATTTCCCCCCTGCTCGGGTCCTGACCCAACTGTACAGCGTCTTGGGACGTCCTCCCGACGTGAAAGGCGCTCTATAAAATGGAATCTTGTTGTTGTTGTTGCTCAAAGTTTATTTCTGGTTGCTTTTTCAGTTCCAGAAATGTAGTGGCTTCATGTTTTGGATTCTTTAAAGTGTGTTCCAGTTAAGAATTGTTGCAATTTTTCTCTCTTTTACCCATGTTGCAGGATGGCGGTTTGCTTATTAACAATCCTTGTGCATTGGCTATACATGAGTGCAAGTGTCTGTGGCCAAACACACCACTTCAGTGCGTAATCTCTCTCGGAACAGGACGCTACGAAACCTTGGGGAAAAACAGTGCAACCTACACAAGCCTCAAAACTAAACTGACTAATGTTATCAGCAGTGCAACTGATACAGAAGGTTTGTGGTGGTTTCATATTGAAATGTATTTTAAAAATGTACAGTATTGGCATTATCAACAATGAAACGCCCATGTCTGAAGTAATTTCTGTCAGTGTGCAGATCATATTTCAAATGCAAGGATTATTTATTATTAACCGATGGATCCTTTATTTATGATATTCCTTAAAGGCAATCATTCTCAGTTGCTTTTTGCTCTATGAATATTTCAGAAGTTCACACCATGCTTGACGCTCTTTTACCTCCAAATACCTACTTCCGGTTCAACCCCTTTATGAGTGAGGATGTGGTCCTTGACGAGAGCCGCAGGGAGAAACTGAACCAATTGCAAATGGACGGAACCCGGTATCTCGAACGAAATGAACTCAAGCTGAAGAAAGCTGCCGAGGTACTCTGTCAAGAGAAGGGCACATTTCAAAAGATGTACGACTGGTTCAAATTGAAGGCAGACATGTATGATGGTCTTCCTCTAACTTCTAAACTATAAAAAGTTTGGATTCCATTCCAAGAGCTCTTTCAGTCTAATTCTGCCAGTACTGATAAATCTAACCGGTCTATGAAAGCTGAGGCGTCATAAGGAGTAGATTAAATTTAGAAAGTAATACTCTTAGTGCAAGTGTATATAAAGAAACATCGACTGGGTTCTGGATTAAACGCTACTCATTCTCTCATCATTGCTTGTTTCGCTTGACTTAAGCCCAAATTCTATTAACACCCTTTGTACTCTCAACGTACTTTCTCCCTAAGTATTCTTCCATCACTTGTCTACTCTGCTTGCTTGGATTATTTATTCCGGCCAGTAATTTGAATTTTTTTTTTCCGATTTAAATGCCGAGATATGTGCAAGTATTAAATGCAATTGAAAACGTCTATTTGATCATGTCGATAAAAGTTGCAATTCATTTATTTTCTAAAATTAGAAAAAACTGTTATACCAGGAGTTTGTCAGATTATCGACCAATTAAGGCACATACACGTTGAATCCTGTACCTTAGTGATTAGAGCACTCGCCTCCCAAGCGAGAGGATCTGGGTTTGATTCCCAGGCAGAGCGAAACACAAGATAAGTTTCCTTACTCTACACGCCTCTGTTTACCTAGCAGTAAGTAGGAATAATCCCATATAAAAAAAATTGGTCACTCAATCCACGACTGTTTGTGGGACACTGCTGTGGGCAATTGGGTTTCGCTTTTTACCCATAAAATATACAGTCAATTCACTCTACAGTATAATCTGTAAAGTGGTTTGAGAGATCTCAAAGATGTGATAAATGCAAGGATTATTATTGTTAGTTTATTATTCCCTGAACTGTACAGTGTAGCATTCAACTCCCCCAAACAACTATTGAAATTATTTTGAAGTACAATATTGCTGCTCAGTGTTCTTAATGTAGGACCTCAGTGTTCATATGTAGAATGGTTAATGAAAAAATTGTTCCTGCCTTTTGTGTTTGTGCGTGTATAGTATATATATATAGCGCAAGTATATATATATATACACTCACAGTACCTTCAGTTTTTGAATTGTTATAATCTACTTTAACCCCAATAAAAATTTGTAGTTTAAAGTTCGCCCAAACCATCATTCTATTCCTGTCAAGCTTTGAGTTTACCTTCAACAAGTTTGACTGACAGCAAAATACCATATTGCAGTGTGTGATGGTCTCTAAGTCAAAGCTAAGCAGTGTGTCACCATCAACTTTATAGAGTCCTGGATTTGTAGAGTCCTGCAGGTGTTGGTTAGAGCACTCGCCTCTTGAGCATTTGAGAGTGCTACCAATGCACCAGTGAAGGAAGCAGTTCAGTATATTGTGCCCAGCATCTGTTTTGACTTGGGAGAAATCTCCTCTTAAACCCTCCCAGAGTGTATCCTTCAATGACAATGATACACTTCATCAGTGTACAAGTTCATGGAGATTCAAGCGCAGCAGTTGCAACCAGTTGGTGAAACTGTTGTGCTAAGTCCCAGCTGCAGGATCATACAATTGCCCATCTGTACCAGTTCCCACCCTTAACATCCACTCTGGACTTTCTGTAAGCGATGAACAGCAGCACCGCTCTAAACCCAGATGGATGACACATAGAAACTGTATGTCATCCTGGAACACTCTCGCCTCTTGAGTTCAGAAGGTTCAACCCCCTGGCAGGACAATCACATAGTCTAAGATGACACTCCAATGAGGCACTGGGGGTGTGCTGCATTGTTGGAGGTGCCATCCTTCAAATGAGACATTAAACCGAAGTCCCATCTGCTTCTTCAGGTGGATGTTAAAGATTCACTATTTGAAAAAAAAGGAGAGTTTCTCTCGATGTCCTGGCCAAGAATCCCCCAGATAAAATTGGTCATTTGTTTTATGGCTGTTTCTTCGCCTACAAATACACAGTTACTCTATCTCATAGTAAAATCGTGAGAAGCACTTTGACATGTCCTTCCAATGAGCTATACCAAATGTAAGGATTATTATTGTTAAAATGATAGCACAGGAGAAGGCTGTCTGTGCTGGGTTTCGAAGTCCAATCCTTCCAGTCCCATTTACCTGCCTTTTTCTCCTTGTAGCGCTCCTCCCAGCCTAGAGCGTGAGCTGAAAGCCCCGAAGTGACACAACATTCAGACTCAGGTATGAGAGTGCCATCCACTGAGCGCTGCTGCTGCTCACCTACAAAATACAAAATGATGATGCTTTACAGTGAAATCCTGTGAATCACTTTGTTGTTGCTACTGGTCTCAGCAAAAAGAGAAATTGATTCGATCAGGTGTAACTGCACTAGAGGGCAGCAAATGTTCATTCTGGGGTTTGATAATACAATTCACATTTACACAGCCCTTTTCACACAGTAGGGGAGGGCTTTCCAAAATGTGAGCGAGCACCCGAGCTGGGGTGGGAGCTGAGGGGGAGATGGGGGAGGAGAAAAATGACCGAAACCGCAATCACTGAGTTATGTTTTGGGACGTGGCTTCACTCTGGGGTGGAGGCCGGTAACCACTACGTTACGGAACTTCACAAATGGGGGGAGAGTGAGAGCTGAGTCTGCTAACTGAAGAAGCTGTGAAATGCTGAGCTGGTCACAGATGATGAGGTGATTGAAGCAGCCGTGTGTATTACAAAGAAGCAGCCTCAGTGCAGATTGTGTGGAGAGGAGACCACGTGGCAATGAAGGGAAAAAGGCACTCTCCGATGCCTCAGTTTATCCTTAACTTGTGTAGCGGTTTTAACAAACAAAACGCTCAATTTTATTCTCAAAGTGCCAGTGCTGCCTCACGCCTGACCTCGTGCCTCTCACAATTAGATGAATGAATGTGTTTAGGGCAACAACAACAACAAATTACATTTATATAGCACCCTTCACATAAGGAGGACATCCCAAAGTGCTGAACAGTTAAGGATTTACTTCCATGCAGGGTGTTGGAATCAGGAGGGGTGGAGAGCATGGAGGGTAGGAGTAGGAGGGTGGCCGAAGGCATGATTGAAGAGGAGGGTTGTGAAATGGCCCTTGAAGGAGGCCAGGGAGGGAGCGAGGCGTAGGGCATGTGGGATAAAGTTCCAACGGGTTAGGGCAGAGAGGCTGAAGGATCGACCATCGATGGTGGGATGGCTGGGCAGGAGTAGGATGTTAACTATCCACTAAAACAGGCACAAAAGGAAGCTCGGTTTTATATCTCATCTGTAGGATGGTATGTAGCACTCCCCCCAGCACCTCACTGGAGCGTCAGCCTAAAGCATGAGCTCAAAGGTCCTCTCTGCCCTAAGAGCCAGTAGGTGACCACCCGGCATGGTAGGGAGAGGGGACAGGCAGTAGTGTGTCACTCACAAACTGGTTCTCTGCACTGAATGCCGGTGAGGGTGATGACAACTCTCGGGAGAGGAGTCAAAAGCAAATTAATGCACAGGGGAAGGAAGGAAAAAAAGGAGGTGGGTGGCAATATTGATTAAAGACACAGTTACAGCAAAGGGACAGCATGTTAGAGGGTCCAAAAACAGAATCTATTTGGTTAGTTAAGGAGCAGAAAAGGAGCTGTCATTGTATACTATAGACCACCAAATAGTGAGGGAGATAGATGAGCAAATCTGCAAGCAGATTTCAGAAAGATGCAAAACCAATAGAGTGGTGATAATGGGGAACTTCAATTATCCTAACATAGACTGGGAAACACAGTGTAAAGGGCAAGGAGGGGGAAGGATTCCTGAAATGTGTGCAGGATAACTTTCTGGATCAGCATGTTTCCAGCCCAACAAGGAAGGAAACAGTGCTGGATCTAGTTCTAGAGAATGAAGTGGGGCAAGTGGAGCAGGTTTCAGTAGGAGAGCATATGGACCAAAATGATCACAGCATTATTAAGTTTAGAATACTTATGGAAAGGGACAAGGAGCAATCAAAGGTGAAGATACTCAACTGGAAGAAGGTTAATTTCAGTGAGTTAAATAGGACCTAGCCAAGGTGGACTGGAAGGAAAGATTGGCAGGTAAAACAGCTAACGAGCAATGGGAAGCCTTCAAGGAGGAGATAGTTCGAGGACAGAGCAAATACGTTACCACAATGGGGAAAGGTAGGGTATTCAAAGCTCTCTGGATGAATAAGGAAATTGGGATTAAAACAGAAAAAGGAGGCTTATGATAAATGTCAGGTCCAAAATACAGAAGATAATCAAATAGAATATAGACAGTACAGAGGAGAACTGAAAAAGGAAATAAGAGGGCCAAAGAGATTGTATGAGAAAAGATTAGCGGATAACATAAAAGGGAACCTTAAGGTATTTTATAAGCATATAAAGAATAAAAGGTTAGTCAAAGGTAGAATGGGTCCAAATAGGGACCAAAGATGAAATCTTGTGGAGACAAAGGGCATGGCTGATGTACTGAATGAGTGCATCTGTCTTCACAAAAGAAGAGGATGCAGCCAATGCCACAGTATCGGAGGAGAGGGTAGAGAAATTGGATAAGATAAGAATAAGGTACGAGAGGAAGTACTAAAAAGTTTGTCGGTGCTGAAGGCAGATAAATCACCTGGATGCATCTTAGGATACTGAGAGAAGCAAGGCTGAAAATATCGGAGGCTCTGGCCACAATATCAATCCTCCTCGGACACTGTGGAGGTGCCAGAGGGCTGGAGATTTACAAATGTTACTCCCCTGTACAAAAAGGGGAGTAACATAAGAAGGATAAACCCGGGAACTACAGGCCAGTCAGCCTAACATCAGTTTTGGGGAAACTTCTAGAGACGATAATCTGGGACAAAATAATTTTTCACTTTAAAAAAAGGGTTAATAAAGGACAGCCAACACGGATTTGTTAAAGGTAAATCATGTCTAATAAACCTGCTAGCGTTTTTGATAAAATAACGGTGAGGATGGATGAAGGTAGTGCAGTTGATGATAATAATAATAATAATCCTTGCATTTAATATAGCATAGTTTATATGGATCTTCAAAAGGCGTTTGATAAAGTGCCACATAAGAGACTAGTAAGCAAAATAGAAGCCCACGGTATTAAAGGGACAGTGGCAGCATGGATACAGAACTGGCTGGGAGACAGAAAGCAGAGTGGTGGTGAACAGTTGTTTTTCTAACTGGAGGGAAGTGTGCAGTGGTCGGTATTGGGATCACTGCTGTTTTTGATCTATCTAAATGACTTGGACTTGGGTATAGGGAGTACAATTTCCAAGGTTTCAGATGATGCT